TGCTTACAGATACACATACAGTCCCGTACTCGTGCATACATACATACATACATACATACATATACACACATACACACATACACACATATGTACATTACATACATCCATACGCACATGCTCATACACCCATGCAGGCATGCATGCATGCATGCATGCATGCATGAATGAATGAACCACGGATGTGCTTACAGATACACATACAGTCCCGCACTCGTGCATACATACATACATACATACATACATACATACATACATACGTACACACACACATACAAACAAACAAACAAACAAGCAAACAAACAAACATACATACATACATACTTACATACATACATGCATACATACACACACACACACACGTGCGTACATACATACATGCATACATACATGCATACAACATGCATGCGCATACACATTTACAAAAGCATGCGCATACACATGCGCATGCTCACGCTCACACATGCGTGCCGGCATGCACGCACGCGTAATTACAGACATACCCAAACATACTTAGCATAGATGTACATACGCACACATACATACACATACATACACATACATGCGAGCACTTTTGCACATGTATGCAGGTATACACGCGCACACACACACACACACGCATTGTACGTACAGTTACAGACATGCACATGCACGTGTAGACATGCGTGCATCATACATGCATACATACACACGCACACACACACACACACATGCGAACACAAATGCACACACATCTGTGCATACACGCATGCACACATGCATGTACGTAGGGATGAGTATGTGAGTGTACGTATGTGTGTACGCATGTCCGTACATGTTTATGAACGTATGTGCATTTGTCTACGTACTATATCTTCCGCAGTTCATGTCTACCTGTGTGTGCTCACGTGATTGCCGTCGCTAGCGCAAGTGTTTGCGCACCACTTCGTACCCCTTCCAGGCACTCCAGACGTCACCTCTCCTGTATGAGGTGCTGATCTCGTTCTCGCCAACCAGAGCGGTGGCCGAGTACCGCCTCTCGGATGAAAAGAGATGATTGCCCTGACTAGGTAGGTCAGGGCTAGGGGGGGGTCCCTACTTAGTGCTGTGTATTGTGACGCATGTGCAGCACCTCTTGGTGAAAGTGGGAGTGCTCAAGACCTTGTGGCCTCCTGGCATCAGGACGCTCCGTGGGGCGCATGCTGCTGGTTATCCGCTTTCTGGACACAGGTGCGCAAGTTCAGTTGTGGCGTTAGAGTTATATAGAGTGTTTCATGAAGTTCCACGACGAACTTCTACTGCGTTTTCGATGCATTTGTCTCCATGCTGTTGTTTCTGAATGTGCTCCACTTCTAATTCCCATGCTCACTGATTTGGGTATTGTGAGGTGTTCGGGCATCGGGGCCTCACATGAAGGTCAATCACTTCAATCTACACACTGCCTGGTTTTTCCCACCTGGTGTTTTTGGTTGGGAGGCAGATTACGGCTGGCCACGACTGCTGCGCAAGGCAGGTCCCAGGCCGGAACTGTTTTTTTTGTTTGGGGTTTGGGGTTTGGGGTAAAGGGGGGCTACCGCTCGCGTGAGGGCTTTGGTTGGTATCCTGTCCGACCCTAACCCCTTGCTAACTTCCGTTGCCCATGCAGCAAGCCACCATGACATTTGCTGGCTGCCTGCCTGCTCTCTGCGGAGGGAAACCCGAATAGGACACTTTTGAACATGCTTAGGCCGATCAGGCAGTAGAGGCCCCACCAAGTTGTTCCAAGTCTTCTTGAGCACGCTTCAGCCACAGACTCCTAAATGCCGCAGCCAAACACTTTGACCCGAAAGTTTATATAATATAATATAATATAATATAGTAGAATAGACTATAATATAATAGATTAGAATAATATATAGCAGAATAAAGTTCAGGCCGCCTGCGGCCTGCTCTTCCGGGAGCTTTGGTCAGATGCACTGGGCAGCTTTCCCGTGCCACGAGGTCCCCCGTTCTTGTTTTCCGCGGCTCGTGCTTTGTGTGCGCTTCGCTGTTCAAATCTTGTGCAAGGATGCTGGCTTGAGGATGTGGGTGCCAACGGCGAGACGGGTCAGCACCTCTTGCTTGCAACTGAAAATTGACCTTTAGCCAGAGAGTCTTAGAGGTCGTCTCGTCGACGGACTTCACAAGTTCAACGCTGGATGCCCTAAAGTCTTCACTGAGGGTCCGACAACCGCCACTGCGGAGCCCGAAGCGGCCCGAGCTTCGCGAGCGGCAGAGAACGCGTACGCGGAGCCTAGGTAAAGCTAGGCGACTGGCACCATGCCTGCCGGGCCCTCGGGCACCTCCCACGGAGTGGTATAAAGGAGAAACCCTAAACCCGACAGGCTTTGCCCACCAATCCTTTCGACAAGGGTTTCACCCCCCAACCCTCACGAGTTGGAGCCGGCCCCCTTCTTGACAAAGGTTGGACCCCCGAAACCCTTCACGAGTTGAGGCAGCCCAGAAAGAGACAAACTCACAGAAAGCCGACATGGGCCCCGTCGAAAATAACGACCATCGTGGGCGATGCCAAACCCCCCGCTGGGATGCCTGGGAGAACGCTAGAACTAAACCCTAAAATGCTTGAACTCAGGGTGGTCTTACGCACAGGTGCGAGCGGCCTGGGTGTGCACGTGTGCACACACACCCGCGAACACCCATGACGTTACCACACCCTAAACCCTAACACCCTAAACCCTAAACCCATGAAAAAGAGGCAAGAGCTCTCCATCTTGTTCGAGCGCTTCTCTGGGCTGCGAAACCGATGCGGCACCAGCTCTTGCACCTACCAATTGGCCCCTTGCTGTACTGTGTCGGGTTTAGGCTTTAGGCTATAGGGCTTAGGGTTTTTGGAATGGTCAAGGCTTGCACAAGTGTTGGATTCGAAGTTTCAGGGCCTTCTTCTGGGTGGAAGAGTTCTGTTAGTTGAGCCTCTGAACCCTGAACCCTAAAGCCCAAACCTCGCGAGAGTCCAAAGCCGAAAGCCCTAAGCATGAGACCTCCCACAGGATTGTGGTGCTTATGTTAACTTCTGGAAGGCCTTTTTTTGAGTGTTTGTCCGGGAAAAGTCTAAACACTTGAATTGACGTTTGATTCGTAGGGCACCACCGCAAGTCCAGAGGTTTTCGCGTCCTGTGCGACTTGCCCACATAGGCAGCGTAGGGTAGCATAGCTGCTAGGTGGGACGGCCCAGATAGCAACAATAATACACTTCTCATATGGTGAGGCTGCACAGAGCCTTGCATGTCAGTCTAGTGGTTCGGCATGCTCCTTTTGCGGCCTGCCTCATGCAGCGTGAACGCGTTGTCATTGTGTCGACCAGATTGCAAAAACCCTACAGAGCCTAAGACCCCACCAGGGATGATGGTCGGAGCAAACATCGTTGTGCTTGACGAAGTTATGGGCAAGTTGGGGATCTGGCTGAATTCCCCGGGTCCGTAAACCATTCACCCTCACATGGGTAGTTGTCAAAATTCAAGTCCCTTTTGGGGTACCCTAAATAATAGGTGCCGTATTATAATAAGGACCCAAAAAGGGACCATAATTTTGACAACCACCCACATGTAAAACAGCCGTAAACGGTCAGCCCGATGTTGTACGCTGTAGAAACTATGGGGAGGACCCAGCACAGATCACACACCCAATCAGCCATGAGGTGTTGGATGCAGTGGCGGTGAACCTGATCCCACTGGAAGAGGTCTTGGACCTGGATGTAGCTTGCTTCTATGCTGATGGAGGCCGAAGCAGCATGTTTCATCTCCACAAGTATTGACCACCTGAGACTGACTTGCTGGTAGCCCTGCGTAAGCGAGAGAGTGGCAGTAGACCGGTGAGCAACGCGGAACAGTTGCATAGACAATTTTGGTCGAAACCTGTCATCGCGAGGGATTAGGGTTTGGGTCGTACGCCATTTTGAACCTAATTCCCAAAAATCACGTTTTTAAACCGAGCTTTGACCGTATTGTAGCTGCCGCTGCGAAGAAAGACTGAAGAACCTGAAGAACCTATGCCTGAAATTTGAATTACACAGCCCAACCACCCGTCCCCGAGCGCCACCTTTAGACCAGCTCGATTATTTCAGCAATCAAAGCAGCACATTCGGATCCTGCTTTGAGCCCTGGATGCATGTGTGAGAAGGGCTCGGTCGGCCTTGCTCTGTTTTGCCGAAAGCTAGCGGCAGACTTGCGCCGCCAAAGAAACTCCCTTTAGATTCCCAGCTGTTGCGACAGCCATCAGTGCGGTGGGGTGTCAGATGCTCGGATGTCCCCTACTTGGAGTTCCGCTAGGGTCGATGTTGGCACAAAATGACGAAAACCCTAAACCCTGAGCCGGAACCCTAAACCCTAAATGGCCCGCGGAGAGGCTGTGCGAAGCGCTACCAGGTGTACGAGCGAGCAAGTAGTCTCGGCTGCATGGGCGGCTGCGTGTGTTCTCGCGGTTGCTTCCGTAGAGCATAGGAAATCGTCTTGGCATGTGGTATATAGTTGTTCTGGTAGACCTGCTTGTGACTGGGATCCACCTTTGTGTGGCGGCTTTCGTGAGCAGCCAGAGCTAACAGATGCCGTGATGTTACCCAAACATTATTGTCAATGAGCAGTTAGAGCTAACAGTTGCTGTGATGTTACCCAATCATTATTATCATTATGACTGTTCTTTATTATTTCTTATTTTTTATTGTTATTAATACTGTTGATTATTATTAGTGATTGGTTTTACTATGATAATTATTCTTATCTTCTGGGACAGCTGTCTCGAGGCGTCGAGCTGCGCGAGGGAGGTACCGAAGCGGCTCCCATCGCCAGCTCCGGGCTGAATCTTGAGCTCCAGAACGCCGACAGTGAAAGGGTACAGCACCTCGTGGCTGGGGCCGTAAATCTGACCCTGAGCCTCTCGGCATCGAACCTGCCTGGCATCGAGCAGGGCAGCTACCTCCGCCTGTATCTCCTGCCCATCACACAATGGAGTTTGCCCATTGGCGCCTGCAGCTCCTCTTGTGCCGCTTCTCCGGGCTATGACTGTGGGATCCCTGACTGCTTGGTGGAGCAACTGCTTCCCATGGTCTTCCGGAGCTACCTGGAGCGCTACATGGTCCTGCGCGTGCAGCTGCCCGCGACGATGGACACTGCCGTAGGCAACATCGTGCACACGCTTTCCATCTTGAGCCTGCCGAGCCTCGCATGCATCTGGTCGCAGGGTGGCAGGTGTTTGGGACTCTCGTGGTGTTGCTGCACTTGCTGTGTGGTCACCGCGGCGTGCAGGAATCCGACCACAGATCTTTTTCCGATGCAGCTCCCAGCTCAGCTGACCAACAGTGACGATGCAGAGCCGCAGTCGCATCGGCTGCAAGAAGCCTACTCCCCACCTGAAGACTTAAAGCACCTTCCCAAGAGATGCTGACTGGAATGTCAAGGTACCTTCCAAACATTGGCTATCTCTCCTACCTCTCAGAAGGCAGTTGTCGCCCTCTTAGCCTTTCCATTCCGGGCGGACTTGTGCTGCTCAGGGAGCCCATCGTCCCTGGCGCGCATACTGCAAACTGGGCGTGAGGCCGTTTGCTGTACAGTTGGAACTGAGTTTATTCACGCACGTAGCTCTCTCCGTCTCTCTTCGTTTCTGTTGTTTTACTGTTTTGATTTTGCGAGGGCTCGGGACCTCGACCGTTCGTCGGCCAGCGGAACATGCTCTACGCATCTTCACTGCAACAGGACCAACCCTGGCATCAGTTCGACCAGGCTTGCCGGCTTACTATTTGCACCTGCGCAGACAAGGTTCAGATAGGCTTCGGTGCGACTACTGGGGGAGTCACCACGCTCGAGCCGCGCCGCTGCAAAATGCTTTTGCATGTCTTTCCCATGCTCACAAGCTTATAACAAAGGTGGGTCTCTGCATGAGGTGCAAGGATGCGGTTCCAAGACTTGTTGTGAAGCCTCCGTTGTAGATTTGCCGTGGAGATGTAAGAGGCATCTACTGGGCACAGCACATGACACTACTGGCACGCCGTTACCGGGAGCGCCGATTCGCATCCTGAATGTTGCAGCTTCCGAGGTTGCATCCTCCTGCTGGGTTGGCATGCCAAGTCCTCGAAGCGGGCCACGTGCCTCATGAGTTGGACAATAGTGACTGGGTCGCACTTTCCAGCATGGCAATTGAGGTGGGCATGACCTTGCGTCGGTTTTTGGTAAGTTCCGAAGTTGAAAGCCAAAGTCGTCAGGCACGGCGCTGGTCAGTGAGCTACCGCTGGCTGGGGGCGAGACGGCTCCCTTTGACGATGACGTGCAGCTACTCGCCAGGGAACGAGTTCTGCACAGCCACAGAACGTGTGGAGGGATCCCTTTGGTTCTTGATGATCACATCCCTGATATATCACAATCCTGCGTGCCCCCTTCGGTCTAAAAGGCCTGTGGGAAATGTACAGGCCTATCGACTGTAGGAATGATGGAATGGAAGCAGTCAGAAGTGTTCAGTAATGTGCAAGCTACATTGCAACCTGCATCGATGATCGAATGTCTGACCTCTTGCCAAGCTAAATCATGGCAGCTGAATCCTTGCTAGCTAGCCACTTCGGGCGACTCCGAGCATTGACAGTGCCACCAATACATAATGCATTAGGTCCTTCTTGACTAGCCCATGTTAACTGCACTAGGCAACCGAAACAAAGGCGCTAGTATGAGTCTTTGGGAATATGGTATCGGCCTCGCACAATCGAGTCCACTCATTCGACTACTCGTGTGCTCAAGCGAAATCGCGACCGGAAGCTGTGCATGTTGACCGGACTGGACCCTTCAACGCACAGCCGTCAAATGACCAACCAGAACCTGACGTATCCTGCTGGAGCGTACTGGACAGAGCATGTTGAGACTGGGTCGGCCAGTTAGGACTCTATTTCTGCTGGACCGGAACCTTGACGGCTTCCCCGACTTCGTTCGAGGATTCTTGCATGCCCTGCTTCTGCAGTTTTGGTGGAAGTCCATGTGTCCTTTGCTGCCGACGAGAGGAGAGTTGGGTACTTCCGGGGAGGGCTCTTGGCTGACGTCTATGGGAATGACACACTGCCAGTACACGTTGCTTGGCTATAATACTATAATGCTATAATTGACTATAATGTTACAATGCTATAACACTATATCATTACAATACGATAGTACTATAGACTATATTACTACAAAACTACAATACTATAATACCACAAAAAACTACAAGAATACTATACGTCATGTCGCGAAGCTGGTTGTGCTACGCATGAGAAGGGCAGGGAAAAGCCCTCTAGAGGACACTGAAAGTTATTGTTCTTCATGGGAACTACTCAAAGAGCTGCCATGAGCGGAGGTTTGCAGCTGGCCAAAAGATGCATGCCGGGCAGCGCGTTTTCTTCACTCTGCAAACGTTGAACCCACTGGAGCCCATGACGCAGTGGCTGGGCAAGATTTCGAGAGTCCGGTGTTCCACCTTCGGATGAAGTTCTCTGCTTCTCGAATGTGCACTGAAAGTGTCCTGCATTCATCCCCAGAAGCTGGTGGTCATGCGACTCTAAACCCGAAGCCCTAAACATCGTGGCTGGCCTTGCCAAGGCTTTCTGCCTCTAATCACTGGGAAGCGCGGCTATCAAGCGCGGGTGAGCAGCTGCGACCTGGCTGTTGACTAGAAGAAAACTGCCTCACTCCAGTCTTTGGCGTCTTCACCGGGTTCTTGTTTGCCAGGTCGAGCACTACATATAGCCTCGCCTGGAACTTCAGTGCGTCAGCGGATCCCATGGAGTCAGACCTTTGGGCAGCTGGGCAAAGGGTTCAGCTCGAAAAATCTGATGCGATTGGTCGTGGGCTCTTCATCACTCGATCCCGCAGCTGAGGTTTCGAATGTTGCTGTTTTGGAGAAGCTGTCTGCAACAATGTGCCTTGGCCTGGTTCGGTGAACACATGTTGCCGTAATGTGTGTTTGCCACCTATTGCAATCAAGCACAGTGTCTCAAAGCCAACTCTGCAGCGAAGCTGTTCTGTGCTGCAGGCAACCAACCGTTTTCACGGTCAGCAGCCAGAACATCCTGAACGTTTTCATATCCTTGGTCCAAGACCTGGGCCCCAGCGGCACCATCGCACCTCGAGTGCACGTTTGATGCTACTGGTGTTGACAGCGACACTGTTTCTGCCTCCGCCAATATCGTTAAGCTCGCCGCGTGTTAGAAGTGGACATTTGTCATTGGAATGGTGTTAGGCAGCCGTGCAATGTCTTCACAAGGTTTGCCTCGTAAGACGTCGTCCTGCTGACGGTTTGACAAGAATTGCCTGGTGTACTGGGTTCAATTGACAAGTTGGACTTTGAAAGGCATCTCCAGGCACTGTGTGCGTCACAGACCACAAGCACGGCCGTCAACAAGCAGAGTTTTCTCCATCCATTTGGCTCTGGCTCAAAGTTCCTTCGGCTTAGGTGATCGATGCGCCTGTGGGCTTCGACTTCAGGGGTTGCGTCCCCAGTCATTTGAACGACCTGATCTACAGCACTGAGGGCTTGCCAGGCCAACCCGGGGCCTGATATTTAAGGGGAAGGGGTGGCTGAGCAGCTGGCTGCTTTCCCCTGCGCACGGAAACTCTACTGCTGCTTCTGCCATCGCGACTGCCACTGCTACTGCTGCTGCTACGGCTACGCTTACGGCTACGGTTACAGCAACTGCTGCGATTTTCCTTAGTGCACTCCTTATGTCACGCCAGGACGAACTGTGCCGCTACCGGCCCTGGGGAACTGCAGTGCTGCGCAGACACCCCGGCAGAGAAGTTCAGGTGGCTTTCCCGCACTGCTCCTCGAAGTTCCACCGTGTCAACTCTGGACATCGGTAGGCCAAACAGTACTGTAGCAGCAGTCGCGGCGACGCGTGTTTTATCGGTGATGGCATAGAAGGCTGTAGCCCGAATCCTTGGCAGTGTGCTATAAAAGATTGAAGGTGCAAGCCGGAACCGAGCTTTGCTTTCGGTCTCTGGGTGGCTTCTTGCGGATCGGAACTACGGCTTCGGCATAACCGTGGTCAATGCAGCCAGCGAGAGCGACGTGGGCTTCTTCATCTGGACACCTGCATTGAGCCACATGTGGTGGGTGTTGGTGGGCCTTGGAGGGTAGCTGCCTCTTGTGTTCCATTGGACCGCCGGCATCTGCGTCAGGACGCTGGACTCTGCTGGGACGGCCTTGGAAGGCTCAGAGGGTCCAGCCGCATTCCAAGAGGCCAGCCCGAAGAGTCTTGTGCTTCGCAGCAGTCTGTGACACACCTCAGCCAACAGATCCTGCAACAGGGCGATGCCTCAAGCTGGCATTTGTACCAGGACCCCTATGGCCTGCAGGTGCTGTTGCAATCAAGCTGTCGGGGTGTGCGGTGCGTGCTTTGGAGGATCATGGCGTGGCGCCTGTGCTCTTCGTGGAGAGTGGCCTCTTGGACCACTTCCTCCTTCGCCACATTGCTACAGTCATAACCCGTCTCAGGTTACCTACGTCCATTCTCGGTGTTTGGCGTTCCGGAGACTTTGGTGGTCCAGGCAAGAGCTTTCATTCCTGTTGGGGTCCAGGCTCGTCCTTTGGTTCATAAATTCTTCAAAAAGCCTCGTCCGAAGCTGGGCCTGATGGGCGGAACTCGACAGTGAGGACCTAGGTAGTAGGGCCCAACAGCTCCGATGAGCTGCCCAGGTTTCCAGGCTAAAGCAGCAAGAGGGTCAGAAATCCCACGGTCTTTGCAGACGACTCTGAAGTTCCGGGTTTCGGGGAGCCCTGGACGAGGGGGTGCCTGGCTCTGCATCTTCGCTGGCCCTCCAAGGGCCAGCCAACGCGCCTTGCTTTCCAGTCACGGCGGGATTCGTTTGGGAGGAGGGTGTGGGGCCGAAACACCGGCTCCCTGATCTGAGAGGAGGGCGTCGACCGTTTCGATTCCTTGCACCAAAATGCCGATCGCATTTAGTGCACAATTTCTGAGTTGGCAGCATGCAAAACAGAACTGGAAGTAGCTGCTGTTGTTGCTCAGCCCACCGCCATTGTCACAAGATAGCCCAGCAGGTGTTAGCATGATGAGGTTCAGCTACCAGCTAGCAGGAAGCATGGTGAAGCATGCGGAAATACCGCTCTTTGCATATTTTCCTAGAATTTTGCAACGTTTCACATGCAAAGGTTCTTTTGAGAACCATGCCTACCATTTCAGTTGGTAGCACCACCGTCAAGCCGAAACCATCAATCCATCGTCATCCATACCCCCGTCGTCATCATCACGATTACTAGGAGTTACTAGGGCATTTCGTTGGTGCGTTGGTGCATTCAGTCAACACTGCGAGACAGAAGATGGTAATGTCAATCCTAACCAGCCCGCCCCCCTCCCAACCCTAAACCCTAAACCCCCCAGAACCAGGATCTTCATGCGGGGGTTGACGAGTTCCCTGGTATGGGTTTATTGAGGGCCATCATCTCCAAGTACGACCTGCGCTACAACCGGTCGGTAGGCCACACCTGGAGTGCAAGGGGGGTGGGGAGCGAGATTGACTTCATTATGTTGAAGGCACAGAGGGTCGAGGTTGTGACGTTCAAGCGGGATGACATGAAAGAGGCCCTGCCATCCGACCACTCCCCCGTCTTCAGCCTCATGCGCACGCCCCGACCATTGGTGTACAGATCAGCAAGGCCCAGGACCGGGTGTGGTAGATGGTGTACCTCCCCTGGCCCGCTAGAGCGATATGCAGAATCTGGGCTCCCCTTTGACCCAGCAGAATTTGCGAATTTGTGTGCAAGTAATTCGACGCGACCGCCATCTCTGCGATATCAGGACTCGGAGGAACTCAAGCAAACCATTAAGAACAGGAGAGAGGAAACAGACTCGCAGGTTAAGGCGGCCCTCTTGTGTAAGGTTCGTCATGAACGGGCTCTGGCCAAAGCGAACCACAAAATCAAGATCCTGGAGGATGCCAGGGCGGGGGACAGGAAAGCCATCACCTACCTTCGTAAGAGTGCAGCTCAGCGCTCTTTTGAGACATCATACATTGAGCTCCGAGGCGGACAACAAACAGCGGCCACCGAACTGCAAAGGTTTTACGAAGCTAAGTACTCCTCGTTCCTTCCGGCTCCCACCAAGGAAGCGGTAGACCAAATGCTTCGTACCCATACATCCATCCAGCCGAAGCCCTTTTCTGAGGACGAGCTTGCAGCTGCTATCGCCAGGTGCAAACCACGTACAAGTTCCGGCATGGACGGAGTGTGTTACGAGGCCATTAAAACGTACCACCGGAAGGACTCCAAGGGTAAATTGCTTCGGTATTTCAACCAGCTTTTGTTTCGGGAGTTGCAGGTCCCCCCTGGTTGGGCCGAAGCCAAAGTGGTCTTGTTGCCCAAAACCCCGGCTCCCTCCTGCCCTGCTGATCTACGCCCTATATGTTTGTCTCCATGCTTGTCAAAGGTCTTTGGTAGACTCGTCATGAACAGGGTCGCTGCTCGATGCCCCGCCTTCGCCAGTGGCCAGCTCGGTTGTAGGAAAGGCACCCAAACCGTAGATGGCATACTGGCGGCCCAAACAGTCATCGGGCTTCTCCGACGTAAGCATGGCGTAGAGGCTCATGTAGCAAAGTTGGACATACGTGCTGCCTTTGACAGCTTAGCTCATTCGGCTGTTGTTCGCTATCTGGCAGAGTGTGATCCATGCCCGGAGGCGGGTCTGTTGTGGAAGCTATGTTCACAGAACTGCCTCCACATGTCACTGGGGGCCGAGACTTGGAAGGTACCGGTGCGGCAAGGGATTATGCAGGGGAGCAGTTATTCAGCTGATCTGTTTGCCAGGGTGATCGACAGACACATTCGGGGGCTTCAGCCGAGATGGAACGAAATGTTCCCTGCGTGGGGAGACGGGCTACGCCTGCCACACTTTCTTCTTTACGCGGATGACATCTTGTTATTCGCTATGAGCGCAGCCGAGCTCCAGAGCAAGTTGAGGGATTTGACAGACAGCTTACAGTGCATAGGGCTCTTCATTAATGCGCGCAAATGCCAGGTCCTGAACATCAAGGGGGT